TAAAAAAATTTATATTCTGTTTGATATTACAAGGGTTTTAAAAAGCCTTTAATTTGATGAGTCTGTTGCTAAGAAACTCATCATTCTTTTAAAACTAGAGGAAAGTTTACATTTTTAGTCCCTAAAGCAAAATGCTCTCTAAAAGAGCCCCTTGTAGATGCCTCATAGAAAGGAAACACGATTAAGTGCAATTTTCCTCCATTATATCTATTTTTCAGACTCTAATATTCAGTTTAGCAGCTATTTAATCAGTTAGAAATCAGTTGTTTTCTCTGTGTGTGCCAACAGGATGGTCGGGGCTTTGGCATCGGGACTCTGGTGTTTGGAAAGCTGCGAGGTTTCTCCTGGTGGCCCGGCCGGATTGTTTCCTGGTGGATGAGCGGCCGGAGTCGAGCTGCAGACGGCACTCGCTGGGTAATGTGGTTTGGTGATGGCAAATTCTCTGTGGTGAGTATCATTAGTGCTACGGCTAGACAGATCTGATGATGTAGTGCTGATGCTGATGTAGTGGTGGCTAAAAATAAAATGCACTCAAGAGAAAATGTACTAGAGTTACAATTAAATTAAACTGTTGGTTAAATATAATATTATTTAAGAGCAACAGTTTTAACGAAAATATCTATATATTAACTGGATCAGCTCTTCATCCTCTCAAGGATACTTGAAGGTGCATGGGAGTTTGCCCAACCAGTCTACATGTGTTTTCTGGGCTTGGAGAAGGCATTCGACCGTTTCCCTTGGGGTGTCCTGTGGGAGGTGCTCCGGGAGTATGGGGTGTCTGGCCCATTGCTACGGGCCATTCAGTCCTTATACGACCGTTGCAAGAGCTTGGTCTGCATAGCCGGCAATAAGTCGGACTCGTTCCAGGGCTGCCCTTTGTCACCGGTTCTGTTCATAATTTTATGGACAGGATTTCTAGGCACAGCCAAGTGGCGGAAGGCTTTCACTTCGGAGGTCTCAGGATCTCATCTCTGCTTTTCACAGATGATGTGGGTCTGTTGGCTTCATTGGGTTATTGCCTCCAGCTCGCCTTGGAACGGTTCGCAGCTGAGTGTGGGAATGAGAATTAGCACCTCCAAATCTGAGGCCATGGTCCTCAGCCGGAAAAGGGTAGAGTGCCCACTCCGGTTCAGGGACGAGTTCCTGCCCCAAGTGGAGGAGTTTAAGTATCTCGGGGTCTTGCTCGCGAGTGACGGGAGAAGTTGGGAGCGGGAGATCGACAGACGGATTGGTGTTCCGCCGTGGTGAAGAGAGAGCTGAGTGTAAAAGCGAAGCTCTCAATTTACTGGTTGATCTACGTCCCTACCCTCACCTATGGCCACGAGCTGTGGGTAGTGACCCAAAGAACGAGATCGCAGATACAAGCAGTAGAAATGGGCTTCCTCCAAAGGGTGGCTGGCCTCTACCTTAGAGATAGGGTGAGAAGTTTGGCCATTCGGGAAGTGCTCAGAGTAGAGCCGCTGCTCCTTCACATCGAAAGGAGCCAGTTGAGGTGGTTCGGGCATCTGACAAGGATGCCTCCTGGGCGCCTCCTGCCTGGGGCAGACCCAGGACACACTGGAGAGATTATATCTCTCGGCTGGCCTGGGAATGCCTTGGTGTTCCCCCAGACAAGCTGGAGGAGGTGGCTGGGGAGAGGGAGGTCTGGGCCCAAGCAGCCGCCCAAGCAGAGAAGCCCAGACAAGCCCAGGCAAACAGCAGAAATAAAGTAATTCCTGAAGAATCCAGGGTTAAACCTGAAGTTACTGCATTGAGCCTCAAGTCCTGGTTCACCTTATCGGCCTCTGAAGGGGGGAGAAAGAGATGTGCAGCAAATGTAAACAAATAAAATTACAGATGATAACATATGGAGATATTGTCAGTCAATTAAAACTTTTGAAATATGATACTCAGCTATCGTCTGTGGTAGACTGCATTGAAGCTACAGTTCCTTGGCTGAAATCTTTATGAATTTTTTCACAATTATTTGATAAAATTTGACATTTGGGAAAATATAATAATTTATTTTTTTTGTGAATTTTGAACATTGAGAATTTAGTAAGCTAAGACCAAGTTTTTATGTCTAAAAGGCTAAAATCTTCTCTAAAAGAATAGAGATTTCAAGGTATCTTCTTTTCTGATGATGATTTGTGGCTTTCCTCCTTCACTGTGTAGGTCTGTGTGGAGAAGTTGATGCCCCTGAGCACTTTCTCATCTGCCTTCCACCAGCCAACCTACAACAAACAGTCCATGTACCGGAAAGCCATCTTCGAGGCTCTGCGGGTAACAAACCCACTATTTAACCTCTGCTCTGAGTGTGTAGATGGTTGATGTTGATGTTAATAGGCTTGGAAACTATAAATCTCTCAGGATGAAATCAAACGCCAAAAAAGCCAAAAAATATGAATGTGCTGGTCTAAGAGTCATTCCTCTCTTGTGCGCTCAGCCTGGTTGGCTATTTTGCATTTGTGGAGGTGGTGTTCTCATCTTGATCTGCCCACAATTTAAAAGTGGTAACATGTGGGTAACAGCAGTCCAATCTATAATTTTGTGTGGGGTTTGTTTTTGGTGAAAAAGTGAGAGAGAAGCTTCAGTGGCACCCACTGTGTCTCGTATGCTACAACCACATTAGTGTTTTAACTTGCCATAGGAGCCACATGAAAAACTGTTTTCCATCACTGCCATCACTTCTATTTCCAATTAATGATACGGAAACTTTGGTATATACATAAGTTCGACTGTTTGTGTATGTTATGTTTAGGTGGCCAGCGTCCGGGCGGGGAGGCCAGTTCCTTCCTGTGATGGCAGTGATGATGCGGAGGGGGTGGATCTTCAGACCAGAGAGATGATAGAGTGGGCCATGACCGGCTTCCTGCCCGCTGGTCCACAATCATTGGACCCTCCAGAGGGTATGTCATCTTCTCTCACACAAACACCACCTCCATCATTGTTAACTGGGCACATCAAATTACCTGTTTACAACTGTAGGAGCCACACTATGTGCTGTGTACTGTAAATGCACAGTACACAGCACATGTAAATGCAATTTAGAAATTACTCTTGCCTGAAAATCCCCAGAAGACAACTAAACATCTAACTGAATAAGAACACTCTGAGAGAGGTAGGCGTATCATTGTCAGTCTACAGTAAAGAGACACCTTGATGAATGGAGATACATGGGATTTACAAAAAAGCACAGGCCACTGGTTACACCCAGGAACAAGAAGAATAGATTAGACTTTGTAGAAACATTAAAATACAAGTATCTCGACAAATGAAACCAAGGTTAAATTGCACCAGAATGACTGGGAAGAGAAAAGTATGGAGAAGGACAGAAACGGCTCATGAGCCGAAGCATAACATATCACCTGTCAAACATGGTAGAGGCAGTGTTACAGTATGGGTGGCCAGTTGAACCAGGTCATGTTTATAGATCCCAGTATCTATACCAGAGACATTAAACTCATTTTAATTCAGTTAACACAGTTTGAGCTTAATTTGATCTTCTTGCTTTAATAAATGTAAATGAGTGTACTCTGAAAACGTTCACATTCGGGGTCTGCTGTCATTCAGTGAACATTACAGTTTAATCGTGAGGGTGGAGAAAAGCACAAAACCTTGCGATGTAGAGTTATTGTGAGCAAAATAATAATAATAGTATTGTAATATTAATAGTATTATTTTAGCTCTGTGCCCATTTTGTAAGGCTGTAAAGCTGGCATCAAAATAAAGGAAATAGCAAGATATTTTATTGAAAAAAGTGGAGAAATGACAGATTTCAGGGCCATTTTTACTCATGTTTCACATCTTTGGTATAACATTTTTTATTTTGCAGTCTTGACCATGACATTCACAGCACTGCATATGTAAAGCATTTAGCTACAAGGATATCAAAGACAGCTGTATAAGTTGTTGGCTGTGATAAGCAACTGTACACTGCTGGAGCTTCCACACACGGATTTAGCCTTGGATAAGAAAACAATTAGTGAAAAAAGTGTCTGGATCCATGTATGCCTCTGACTATAGTCCAAAGCTGAGTTTGTGTTCAGCCACAGTGTAAAATAAAAATCAGCAGTTTTCCAGAGGGTCACACACTGGATAACTGAATCAAAATAAGGTTAAAAGTTCTAAAGAAAGTCCACTTTAATTCTATATAAACATTTAAATTAGCGTTCATCTTGCACCACGGTTGTGTGATACGCACCGCTGCATTGATTAGTAATACAACACACTGGAGTTCAATAGCAGTAAAGACCTAGTGCAGTGATTAACCTTGATATTGGTCAGCATAATGCCGCACAGTCGTTTTTTTTCTTTCGTAGGATGCTACAGGCAACCATTTTTTTCCATCTGTGTGATAGAGAAACTATCTAACCAAAAATGTGGTTTATTTACATGCTACTCTGCTTATATGCAGCTGCTGATAACTTGAGGTTCACTGTAATAAAAGTGTCTGAAATTGGAATCTTTGCAGTTTTAATTTACCTGCCTGGCTGATTCTGTCTCTTTAGTTTATGTGTATGATAAAGATATCATTATCATCAGTTTACTCCAATTATGACATATTCATTCAGTCCCTTCTGTCTGTTTAACAACCAAAGTGAAAGTCATCTTTTATATGTTATATGGATCTCTCCAGCTCTCTTCCACTTGTTACATTTCAGTCGCTGCACCACTGGCAGAAAAACAAGACAAATGAGCTCATTATTAATGTATTAATTATTCTGTTAAGGAGGGTTTTTTCCAGCTCTTATGGGGTTTCCTATCCACGTAAGGCATATTGGTTTGGCAGGGTGTCTGTCTTATCTGATTCCACAGATGTTTATATCTTTTTCTGCTGTTTTTTTTTTCTTTCCCAGAGAGTGACTGCCAGCTTCTCACCAAACTGCCCAAAGTTAAATGCTTTCGCAACAACAAGCGAGAAGGTATGGAAGCAGTTGCGTTTGAAAAATTTCATTAGCATTTTTAACATGCTAGTGTGTATAAATTTGCATGCTTAATCATTCTTATGTTCTTTGTA